AGGAGTTTCTTCTGTTTTAAGGGTAGATGCTATTCCACTGTGTGTACATACCACATGTTCTTTATCCATTCATCTGTACATTTGAACCCAGGAGCCTGAGGTTGTGGTGAACTGAGATTGTGCCATTGCACTCCAGCCTGGACAACAAGAGTGATACTTCATCTCAAAGAAAAAAAAAATTCAATACACAATTTCAACAGAGCAGAGGAATCTGTATGGGAATCTTAGCAGAGGAAAGCATGAGATTTTTATCCTTATAGAAAGAGGGCAGTGCTAAAAAAAAAATTCAGTTGAATAAAATGAATCTCAGGCATAACAAAGCTGTCCAACAGAATATTTAAGAATCTGTTTTTCAAGAAATAGTAGTAACTCGTCTTGCTTGCTAACAAGGTGAAGTAGGAGCAGGCCAGTTTGTAGCACACAGAGAAACACAGCACCTACATCTGAGCATTGTCTTAGAGTAGAATAAGTCATCGCATCTGATACACTTTGTCAGTTTGTCAGCACCTTTGACGCCACTGAACTCTTCTGAATAGTAAGATTTGATTCACAGGTTAGTAGGAAAAGGTTTTAAATGAGTAACACGTTTCTGCCTTTTCCTTGAATTCTGCTTTTTTGTTGCAATACTCACCAGTGATTCAAGTGTGTTTAACCTGAAATGAAACTCTTCATTTTTCAAATCGCATATGCTTCTGTCACAGAAAGTTCTGGAAAGAACTGTACCTGCTCTTGAGCCCACACGTTTTTATAACGAAGAGAGCGTTCTTCGTTTTATCCCATTGCCTGTGTATTTGCTTTACTTTACACTTGCTTTCAGGAACCAAAAGGGTATGCTTTGAAAAACCACGTCTGATCAACATTTAACATATTTTAAATGAAAGTCCTGGGTTAAATGGAATGTTCTTGACACTGATTACTAATAACTTTATGAACATGCATTTTGAAGATACTCTCATTAATAATAGGTAAGATTTGTTGAAATGAGAAATAAATCACCATCTAAAATATTGGGGTGGGGAAATCTACATCTCTTAAAAATGATGACTAATAGAATTATTATTCTACTATTCTATTATATTATTTTGGGGGCATCTGGCTCCCCTTATGATGTGCGGCTAACCCTCAAGAAAAACAACTCCATGCCTAGAGTTTCATAGCAAACAATGACTGCCAACCAGCCTCCTGATGACTTTTGTCTTTCTAAATCTAATCCCATGATAAACCTCTGGCTTCCTACACTTGACGTGCCCCTCTTTTACTAGTCCCAAATCCATCAGACACATTGTGGTTAGCTCATTGTGAACAAACACAACTGACAGTTTCCTTCCTCAAGGTAAACAGTACTGGTACTTAGACACAGTTCAAAGGGTTTATCACCCCAATGTGGTTATTCTTTTTTGGTGGACAAGTGGGGCTACCTCTAACTTCTAATTAAACTGCTTTATGCTCTCTACTGATGTTCTTAATTTTTACTAGTAGTAAAATTCTATGTAATTACTCCATCAGTGGCCTGTTTTCACAACCTCTAGTTTTTTTTGTCCTGTTTTCGTTTTTCCTCTGTTCACCACTGTAACCATTAACCTCTCATCCTCATTGAATTTTGTTACCGTTTGTGAAGGCAGCATTGCACAGTCAATGGAAAAGGTGGCCCCGCTGGTGCCATTTTGGTGATAGATTTCTCTCTGCTTTAACCCTGGATAAATGACTCCTGATCTGGTTAACCTGGTTTTTCTTTGGCCTTTCTTCTTGCCATCTTCATAGTTATCATTATGTTTCACTGGAGGAAAGAGGGAGAAATGCAGGGGCCTCCCCTAGCAGAGCGGAACCTGGGGGCGTGTGATGTCATGCCAAGTCCCTGGAAAGCATGCATTCCGGGAAAACAATGCCCTGTTGGCCAGCAGGATTCCACAGCTGCCAAATGAGGACGGCTTCTCCAGCTCCCCAGAAGACAAGCCCTTCATATTTCCTATTGTTTCTTCGGGCACTTGCTTCCTTCTGTTTGTTCCAGTTTCATAAACCAATGAGTCATGCTACTTACTTCTGAGTCCAAGTGACTTTCCTCCTGAGGTTCATTTTAGAGCAAGCCCCATCAGAGACTGGGGTGGTCGCTGGGGAAGGAGTTTTGTTGTGTTTTCCCTAGAAGCTGGGCATGGTGTTATTACTTCCTATAGAAGAATGTCTGAAGGAAAGGCCTTCAAGGGCCTTTTTTGCTTCTTTGATAGCAAACTTAAGAGAACCACTGAAGCGAATCCCCGCCTGGCTTCAGGACACTAAGCCTCAGGTTTGGGGTATCATTAGCTGATCATTAGTTTACATGCTGGGGGGATTTTCCTAACACAACATTCATTATCAAAAATGGCCCTTCGCATCCTTTAGGTAAGAGCTGTAAACAGCCAGGAAGGCAGGAGGGTGTTGTTAGGAAGGTTCCCCAGAGTGTGTGACTTCCCAATTGTCCCCATTCTTGAGAGGCAGTGGGGGTTGAACAAAGACCCTGCAGACAGAGTGACTGGAGGTCCAAGAGGTTGTGCTGCTGGTGAGACACAAGGGAGAGCCAGCTCACACCTGCTGGCCGGGAGATGACCTCCAGCTGTCCTAGATGCTCTTCTGCCTTGTGGGTTAAGGAGGAATTCTTCCATGCAGATGGAAGGAAATGAGAAAATGGATCTCTTATAAACATTGTAATTTGTAAAAATAGGAGGCATATTTCACTTTCAGAAAGGCATAGTTTTTCATGGCCAGGTGCGGTGGCTCATGCCTGTAATCCCAGTACTCTGGGAGGCTGAGGCAGATGAACCACTTGAGCTCAGGAGTTTGAGACCAGCCTGGGCAACATGGTGAAACCCCATCTCTACCAAAAATGCAAAAAATTAGCCAGGCATGTGCCTGTGGTCCTGGCTATTGGGGAGGCTGGGATGGGAGGATCACTTGAACCCAGAAGGTAGAGGTTGCAGTGAGGCCAGATTGTACCACTGCATTCCAGCTTGGGTGACAGAGTGAGTGAGACCTCATAAAAATGGCTTAGTTTTTTATTTCTGTTTTTCAAGGGTACAAAGGATTTATCCAGGTTTACCTGTAACCCAGCAATGGTAAGGCTAAATGGTTAATGACCTTGTCTCTTGACAGAATTGAGCTTTGAGATAGAGTTCTGAAGAGGTGGGAGCATATAGCTCTGATTTGGAGGATTCCCATTTCTAAACCTGTCTTACTCTCACATCACATCCCACCCCATGACCCCTCCACCAACATAAAAACCTTATTTGGGCATAGAGATTCTGTAAAGAGCTTTCTATTCCATATCAGGAAATCTGGGTTTTAGTCCTCTCTCTGTCACTAACTTTGGGGAAACCTTTAACTTCTCTCTGTACACGGCATTATCCTCATCTGAGAAATAATAGGGGAAAAGTCTATCTAGACTGTCACTAGGAAGCAGAGAGTGTCATTTAAACTGGCCCTGAGGGTGGAGTCAACATTACCCATGGGACGTGGGTAGGACGAGAGGTGAGGACGAGGAGAGGGTGCTCCAGACAGACTCCATGGCACAGGCAAAGGCTCTGAACTCACAGAATTTCTGAGCAGTCAAGGGAGGAAAGGACAGTTACGTGGCCAGAGCTCAGATGGGGTGGGAGACCAGGCAGGAGGGAAGGAGACAGGGAGACAGAAACCAGACCAGAAGCTGCTTGCAGAGTGTGTTAAGACCGATCTTAGTGCAGTAACAATGGGAAGTCAATGAGATGTTCTGGCAGGGAATTGGCTAAATGACAACTCAGCACAACACTATTCTCAACTCATCGACATCAGCGGAGGTTGACTGAGGCTTAGAGAACTGTGAACTTCACGGACCTAACACAATTTTTTGAACTGAGGAGGTAAACATAACATTGCCATTTTTTCATTTTGCCAAAAAAAGGCATTAACTAAAATAAAACAAAAGCCTATCATCATCATCATATCATCATCATCATCATCATCATCACCACCATTGTCATCTTTTTTTTTTGAGATGGAGTTTTGCTCTTGTTGCTCAGGCTGGAGTGCAATGGCACTATCTCGGCTCACCTCAGCCTCTACCTCCTGGATTCAAGCAATTCTCCTGCCTCAGCCTCTCTGAGTAGCTGGGATTACAGGCACATGCCGCTCTACCCTGCCAATTTTCTATTTTTAGTAGAAAAGGGGGTTTCTCTATGTTGGTCAGACTGATCTCGAACTCCCGACCTCAGGTGAACGGCCTACATTGTTGTTATTATTATTTAGTCTTGGCCCTTGACAAACTTTTTCAAAACTTGACATTCATTAGTGTACTGGCATTTGAAAGTCATTGGTCAAGGTAGTCAATTCTCTGGATGAGGACCAAAAAAGAAAAGATGCAAACGTCTTTACGGAAGAAGAGACACTGCTGAAGTTGGGGTGGTTAGGGGTGAAGGGAATGAAAGTCCTTGAAAGTGCTCGCGAAACAATAGGCTCTCAAGAAATGCCAGTTAACAGGAGGATCTCTTGAACCCAAGTTTGAGACTGCAGTGAGCCGTGATTGTGCCACTGTAATCTAGCCTGGATTGAGACCCTGTCTCAAAACAAAAACAAAAACAAACATACACACAAAAACACATCATAGCAATAAAAACATGCCAGTTGAAGCTCACTAAAATTTGGTGATAACACTAATACCCAATCTTCATATAGTAAAGAATTATGCATCCATCGTTTAATTGATGGCCACCTGAGAGGTAGGTAAGAGAGGTATTATTCCCATTTTACAGATGAAGAAGCTATTTGAGAGGTTACGTGACTTTCTCAAGCTTGTCAATAATTATACAAACTGTGAACTCTGATCTATTGACTGGCAAGGAAGAGGAAGGTGAAATCTCACAGTGAGAGATGAATAGGTATAAATGCAAAGGTAAAGGGATTTAAGCCAGAGATCGAGGCTAGAGTGGAGTGCTGAGATAAAGGGAAGTAGAAAGTAAGAGAGTGGTTGGTGTCCTGTTTTCCTTCTGCTTATTCAGGAAAGAAAGAGCTGATTTTTGACTGGCAAAGGAACATCTGTCAGCATTGTGAACAAATTCCAAAAACATGTACTGGAACAGATTCCTCTGAGATTGAGCAAAACCTGCTGTATTTCGACTATCTGTTACACATCCTGCCTTCAACTGACGTTCAGAGTAAGACTGACTCTTGCTCCACCCAACACGCATTCCAACTGACTCTCTCATGCTCTCTGCATAAGTCGGTATGTATTTGGAGAATGAATACTAATTTTAATACAAGCATAAATATATATATGCAGAGTGGCTCATCTACCATCAATAAATTATATGATTAATTCCAAAGTAAGACAAAATTCTTGTTGACATTTCATTGTAGTGTGGCATAAAGAGAGCACTGATTTTGGAGTCACACAGTTCTGAGATTGAATCACGACTCTGTCACTATTAGCTGTGTTGTCCTGGGTAAGGTACTTAGCTTATCCGAGTCCTTTTAACTCATAAAGGTGCTAAATAATTACAGGAAATTCAATAAATTTTCATATTTATAAAGATTCATTACATGCTTATGGTGTGCCAGGAACATTCTAACACTGAAGATGCTAATAGTGAACAATACAGGTAAGTGCCTACCGCCAGAGAGTTTGCACTCTGCAGTTAGAATTGATGTGGGCCAGGTACCTAACAAACATTCTCATCTTCTTGGGAATGTACTTCGTAAACACATTGTTTTTGAGATGGGGTCTTGCTCCTGTTGCCCAGGCTGGAATGCAATGTGCAAGGGCACGATCTCAGCTCACTGCAACCTCTGCCTCCTAGGTTCAAGCGATTCTCCTGCCTCAGCTTCCTGAGTAGTTGGGATTACAGGCATGCACCACCACGTCCGGCTAATTTTGCATTTTTAGTAGAGACGGGGTTTCTTCATGTTGGTCAGGCTGGGCCCAAACTCCCGACCTCACGTGATCTGCCTGCCTTTGCCTCCCAAAGTGCTGGGATTACAGGCACGATCCACCACGCTCAGCTCGTAAACATTTCTAAGACAAGACCGACAGTATCGTGCTGTGCTTCACCGGCTGGAATGGCTTCAGCTTCCAGGCTTGTGCTGTCCGACATGGTACCAGCATTTGAGGACATGTGGCATAAGTGATGAGTGTGACTTAGAAACTGACCTTTCCATTGCATTTTATTTTAATGAATTTACATTTAGATTTCAAGCCTAAGGCAGTATAAAATATTTTTGTGATAAACACCCCCTTTTTGTTTTGGCAGGGCTATATTTTATGTTAACCATTGGAAATTTAGCTTCTGGATTTACATGTGCTGCAAGTGTAATGTACACATTCAGTGTGAAGACTAGTATGGAAAAGAATGGAAAATATCTTGATAATCTTTTATGTGCCACACATTGAAATAATATTTTAGATATATTGGCTTAAATAAAGTATATGACTGACATCAATTTTACTAGTTTGCTTTATTCACGTGGCTATTAGAAAATTTAAAATTGCATATAAGGCTCACATTATATTTCCATTGGATAGCACTGCTATAGACCATGCCGAAGATTTTCTTTTTTAGGATTAGAATGATCTTTTAGAGCACGCTTATATGAGAGGTAAAAAAGCCATGTAACTACGGGTCACACCCACAGCTCCTTTAAATACTTTGAAACAATGTAAGACAATTCACTTTGATGCATTTTTAAAACAAAAATTGACATAAAATAATGTCTTAATTATGTATTACACCTCTCTTGCCAGCATGAAATAACATAGAAGAAAAGTAACAACGTCACAATGTCAGAAAGGGAAACGGAAGAACTAAATAATCATTGCTGTTTTACTAATTAAAGCTGGAACTAGGGATAGTGGAGAAAGTGACGGATGAGCTCTGTCTTTTAATGCGGGCAGTTGGTTGATACTGTATTCTAATTAATTCTCTATGTTCCAGATACTGGCTACAAATTAACACATTTCTTTTGCGACCTTTATATTTGATAAATAACAAATGACTTTGTCAATTAAAAGAAACAAAGTTGACATATGCGTCAGTCCTCCATATCTAATTTATCGTGGTGTTGAAAATAAGCAATCCATCCGTTTAATTATTTCTTCATTAAGAAACCTCAAGAAACTCCATACATAAGTTTATTTCTTTTACATGGCAGCCCTATTCAGAAGCGGTATGGGAAAACAAGTCCATCATTTGTGAATAGTTAGACCTAAAGCATCTCAACTCTTCTGAAGGTCTAGACCCTCCCTAGGCATGAAATAAAGGCATGGATCCTTCCTTTGTCTTTGCTGGGCAGACAGAGCACAATGAGAAAGAGGATTAAAAATCAAGTTTTTGATGGAACTGTGAAGTTCTAAGGAATTATTCTGATACAGCTCACTTCCTTTAGGGCTTCTCGTGGTAAACCTAGGGCAGATTCTATTCAACTGTCAATCTCAAGGAAGTCCATGTAAGCTTTGAATTTAGGGGTTGTATGTGTCCTTTATATGCATCACACTATTGTACATACACTGTTTAATGATATTTATCACAAATATTTAATCACAGTAAAAGTTTTAGATTAAGGTTTAGAATACAGAAGTAGTTTCCATGGTCATATGGCTAGTAAATTGCAGAGCTGGGTAGAAACTTGGGTCCTTCTGACTCTACCCAAGTCTTTCTAATTGCTATCCTCCCTATATGAGCTTTTCAATAAAACTGCCTGCAAAAACCCAACTTGAAAATAATTGGCCAGGAAATATGACTCATGCTTGCAATCCCGCCACTTCAGGAAGCTGAGGCAGGAGGACTGCTTGAGGCCAGCAGTTCGAGACCAATCTGGGCAATATAACGAGACCTTATCTCTACAAAAAAATAAAAATAAATTAGCCAGGTGTGGATGGTGGTGAATGCCTGTGGTCCCAGCTACTTGGAAAGCTGAGGTGGGAGGATCAGCTGAGCCCAGGAGGTGGAGGCTGCAGTAAGCTATAATGGCACCAAAACCTGGGTAACAGAGTGAGACCCTGACTCAAACACAGCGCAATGTAACACAACAAAACAAAACAAAACACAACAACAACAACAAAACGGAAGAAAAAAAATCTGCTTCCTAAATGCTATTTTTTTCTTTGTCTTCTTTCTTCCTTTTCCCTGTAGATGAAGACAGTACAGTAGTAGAATCAAGCATCAGCAGGATGTGTTGCCACAGAATAATCAATGTTGTACTAGACTTCCTATCGAGAAGCTGAGTACAGATAAACTGACTCTCATCAATAAACGCAATGGGAACAGAAACCAGGTATTTTATTTATTTCATTTTTTTTTTTTTTTGCTCCGAATAGAACCCAATGAACAAATATTGACTCTCTGTAAGATTTTTATGCTGTGAAGTCACAATTAAAATTATCCTCAGCATCTTCTCCATTTCCTTCTTCCTAGCCCCTGGGCTGTCACCCCGGCATCCTTTCTACGCCTGTTTTCTTATTCTGTTTATCTTGATGAGACTATCTGATGCAAATCTGCTTTGGCAGGAATAAATCTGTTTGGAAACTATGGGCATGGGTCCGCTGTTTGGTTCTCCTGGGTGTGTGGGGTGTGGCAGGAGGGTACAGGAAGGGTTTGGGAGTGGGAGAGAATAGGGAAAGGAGGGTCTCCGGGACAGAGGCATTCGGGGTGGGTCACTTTGCCATGCCTGGACCATTGTCTAGGACTGTGGAGAAGATAAATACCAGAGTTCCTGGGATGAATTACCCAGCTGCAGAGCCATCCTGGCTCCTCAGGAAAACATATGCCCTTTGCTCTGTCGTCTTAGGGGCAATGACCAGCTTCCCTCTTTAGTGCTCCCTAAGGGCTTGGGTTAGAGGGGAATAACTTGCTTAGCTAATGGACTCTCTGGTGGAAAAAAAGGATGGAGTCTAAAGACATTCCGAATGACCCAGTCACTGGCTGGAGTTAAGAGGAAGGTGAGCAACTGCCCCTCATTCTTGCAAATTTGTTTTGGTTTCTATTGAACTTTCAATGACTGGAATCTCTTACTATAAACATATTTTGAATGACTGGAATTTCTTACTATAAACATATTTTGTTATGTAAATGTATCATCAGCTCCCCACCTTCCCACACCCCTTCCAATCCCCTACAAAATTCCTAAATTAGAGAGCAGGCAAACAGCAGTTAGAAAACCCCTAAAGCAATCGACCTGTATTAGTCTCACCCAGAGAACAAAATCATGACACGTGATTATTTTAGAGTAAAAATGAGGCGTTTTCATGAAGTAGCACTTGGGAAAGCCTTCTTGGGATTTTCCGATTGCCTATGTGAGTCACCTGTTATTGACCAGCGTGCTTTCTTACCTGAGTAAGGGGAACAAAAAGAAGCAGAGAGACTTCTGGCCCCGACGAGTTTGCAGACTGAAGAGCTACATCATCTACAGACTCAAAGACCAAGTCTATGTTGATGTGTCCATGTTGCCAGCACCTCACAAGGCCTGCCACCTGCTATGCATCTCAGTATACAGGGACCGAGTGAATAAACAGCATACCTAGTAGGAGGGTAAGTCTATGCTAAGTGCCAAGTGATGGATGACTCCCAGGGATTTTCTAGAAGACAGAAGCAGTCCCTGTGGAGTGATCAGAGAAGGCTGCTTAGAATATTTGAGCTAGCCTTTGCAAAGGGAATAAATAAAAGGAGTGAATGAGGGCATGTTTTCTGGAGCTAGGAAATAATGAGTAAATTGAGAATCTACCAGTCTGAGCTTGAAAGAGTTTAGGCTGAAAGTAAGGGCAGGGGGAGGAGTAATAAAAATTGGAAAGCACCCTCAGGAGGGCCACGTGGTCAGGAGTATTGCATGATTTTTATTTTTGTTGCAGGTCAGCAGTGGGGTTATTTACGATGTGGAGCTCGTATGACTCTAGGTCTGGTTGAACTCTTATCTCTAGTATGAGGTATAGACATCATGCATGATTGAATGCAGGTCATGGCCATTTCCAGGGAGAGGAGCAGCCCACGATGCACTGAAGGTATGAATGGCGGTGTCCCGCCTTGAAGGATGGTACGGTTATTTCTTTGAAGTGTTTTACTGAATATTTAAGCATATTCTATTCTGCTGGACTTTTTGCTGTTTTTCTGTTGAACGACTAACTCAGTCGAAGAGTTCATTTGGTCAGTAATTGTTATAGGATGTGGGTATTTTCCACATCCTCAACATGTAAAACCATCCTGGAGCAGCATTCACCTCCTGTGTAAAATGTGTGAAGTTTTTACTTTATGTCACAGAGAGAGGTGACATAAAGGACAAACCTGGTGTCCTCCCTGGTGCCCACTGTAACCCTAGGGTTGACACCAGGTGCTCACATATTTCCAAAAAGCATCACTGGTTAGTCTCTTCATCCTAGACCTAAATCTCCAAAAAGAAAGAGATCTTTTAAGAAGAATACAATAAAATAGACAGATACAAATGATAAACCAAAAACCAGGGCACACTGGCTCACACTTGTAATCTCAGCACTTTGGGAGGCCAAGGCAGGAGGATCACTTGAATCCAGGAGTTTGAAACCAGCCTGGGAAACATAGTAAAACCCTGTCTCTAAAAAAAATTTGCTCAGTGTGGTGGTGCACGCCTGTAATCTCAGCTACTTAGGAGGCTGAGGTCGGAGAATCACCTGAGACTGTGAGATCAAGGCTTCAGTGAGCTGTGATTGCACCAATGCACTCCAGCCTGGGTGACAGAGCAAGACCCTGTCTCAGAAAAAAAAAAGCAGAAAAAAAATCAAGATCAAGGGAAAGTCCTAAGTCAATCCTGCTTCCAAGGATCTTATAATTAATTGGTAATCCAGTATAACTCTTAAAATATCCACATCCCTAATGGAGCAATCAATATTCAAATACGTACAAATCAATTAGATGCAAATGAAGTGCTTCATTTCTGAAGGGACACAGAGCAAAAGAGATAAAACGTGTGCTCACAGGGAAAACATCCCAAAGGTAAAATGGCTTGAGTCGATATATTTTTGTCAGTACATGTGGAGACCAAAAGGTTCTGACTCAGAGTGGAAAATGAATAATTTCTGTGTGAGTGAGGATAAGTTACAGCCACATAACCAGATAGGGCCCTGAGCAGCAGGGAGGGCAGGAAGTAGGTCGTACACTTTGCTCAGCATCAACTTGTGTGCAGAAACACAGAAGGATTTGCATTAAGCTTTTCTTTTCCATTTTGCTGGTTGCTTTCAGTAATGTTAGATGAATCAGTCATGCCAACCTTTAAAAGTTAGGGAGAAAAAGATTTGAACAGAGAAGGGAGGTACTTAACGGCTCCACTGAAGCTCACTGGATTAGATGAGCTTCAGTGATAATAGTATTTCTCACTTAGCTTCTGTGACACCTTCCAATGAGCTCAAAGCATTGTATAGACACTATCTCATTAATTCTGTCAACATCCCCGTGAGGGACATGGTGCCAAGGGTAATTTGCGATCACTTTATGGATTCAGATGTGGAATGAAGTGAATTTTTATAAAAATGATTATGAAATTGGGCTGTTTCAGGAAAGCAACCCAGGGTTTTTGAGTCAGTTTCTAGAGTCTTCATCATGATTTCTCACCTTCTTCTTTTCTTCCCTTTGATCGGGTGTTTGAAACACCGAAAAGAAAAAGAAGAGACACATTTTTTTTTGACAGATTATGATCTTCTTAGGTTTTCAGCTCTGGGCTTACTTTGTACTCGAACACTTGAATGGAAAAACCTGTAACCTTCAAAAACCATCCATATCATTCCGAAACCCCAGTATTCATGACCTAATCTTTTTGTGAGTTTCTGCATCCAGGTTTCATGTTTCCATGGAGAGTCCTTTCTTCCCATTAGGCCCCTCTCCAAATTCTTGACTAGATCGTAAGCTCCAGGGACTGCAGGGTTTGTGGGGTTTTACTTCACGCTTAGTGCCCAGCATAGTGCCTTCCTGAGTAGCAGTGAATATTAGCAGGACGCCTGAGAGGGTGTTCACCAGCTGCAAAAACCCCTAAGCTGGTTTTATCTAACTTCTCTTTTTAATTCTGTCCCAGCAAACGCTTGGGGACATAGGTCCAGAAAAAGATACTGCCTTCTTGATGCTGTCATAGCTTAGGTGAATTTTTGGAAGCCTATACTTAGAGGCAAAGGTTTAAAGACTTGGAGGCTTGGGCCTCTTTAAAAATAGGTTTAATTTCTTTCTTTCTTTTTTTTTTTGAGATGGAGTTTCGCTCTTGTTACCCAGGCTGGAGTGCAACGGCGCGATCTCGGCTCACCCCAACCTCCGCCTCCTGGGTTCAGGCAATTCTCCTGCCTCAGCCTCCCGAGTAGCTGGGATTACAGGCACGTGCCACCATGCCCAGCTAATTTTTTGTATTTTTAGTAGAGACGGGGTTTCACCATGTTGACCAGGATGGTCTCGATCTCTTGACCTCGTGATCCACCCGCCTAGGCCTCCCAGAGTGCTGGGATTACAGGCTTGAGCCACCACGCCCGGCCAATAGGTTTAATTTCTGATTTGAACTCAGATAGCTCAGGCTTCACCAAATTGGCCCTGTAATAAATATAATATCCGGTAGAGAATGCAAGGTTTTCTGGACTCCCTGGCACCCACTCCCCCAGCCTCCCCAGTCCACCACGAGACTGTCTGATTCAGCCAGCTCCAAGCTGTGATTCACCAGGTACAGCCAGCTGAGAGCCTGCCCCTGGGACACTGTCACTCTGGAGTCGGCTTTCCTTGGTTTTTGTGAATGCGAACGGTTACAAACTTCGGTTTTTCTCTGGTTTCTCTAAAACGCTGGCTCCAAGGCAGTGATGGAAAATAAAATGGGCTTTTACTACCAAATCAGTAGGCAGAAAAATCCCTTGTAGGTACATCTGCTCAGATCACAGATGACCCTTGGCCTGGTTAGACCTTCAGGAGCCTGCAGCAGGCAGGAGGAGAGGAGGCACCTGCACTCCATCAGACAGTAGCAAAGTGGGAGGTGGGAGGGGCCGCGGTGCCTCCCCAGGATCCTTGGGGCTTCAGCCTTCGGTGGCTACCTCTTTCCTTGTCTCTCACAGTCCTTTAAAGAACCGGCAAACTCAATTTACTTTCTCGGCCAGCAATCCTGAACTTTGAGTGAGCGATAGAATTAATTTAAATAGGTGAAAAAAAGAAAAGAAAAAGAGGGACAGGGAAGCACTCTCTCTTTTTAAGTTTCTGAACGCTCCTGGCTTCCTGAAGAGACGTCCGAAGCTTTAAAGCAACTGCAGGGCCGGGCGCGGTGGCTCAAGCCTGTAATCCCAGCACTTTGGGAGGCCGAGGCGGGTGGATCACGAGGTCAAGAGATCGAGACCAACCTGGTCAACATGGTGAAACCCCGTCTCTACTAAAAATACAAAAAATTAGCTGGGCATGGTGGCACGTGCCTGTAATCCCACCTACTCAGGAGGCTGAGGCAGGAGAATTGCCTGAACCCAGGAGGCGGAGGTTGCGGTGAGCCGAGATCACACCATTGCACTCCAGCCTGGGTAACAAGAGCGAAACTCCGTCTCAAAAAAAAAAAAAAAATAATAATAACAATAAAAATAAAATAATAAAATAAAAAATAAAGCAACTGCAGTGGTATCAAAATGCAGCAGAAGAAAACTTACTCGCCTTTTAATTTTTTTCCACTGGGCACGCGAGATTTAGATTGCTTCACAGAGAATGGAAACGTTGGTTGGTTTCGGGTTGTCTATCCAGGAAACTCAATTAAATTGTACTAGGCAGTTCTTTCCCCCTCTATTTTGTCGACAATTTCATCCCTGGGTTTGTAGTCGAGGGATTGACCCTATAGCTAAGACAGATTATAAAAGAAACTTTGGCTTCATTTGAAGTTAAAAAGTTTTTTTAAAAAATGACATTCTTTTTTATCTGCGCTATAGCCTGCCCCCTTTCTAGTGTACTTTTGAAGCATTTTAGTTTCGCTTTGAAATCTACCTTTTGGGCTACATTTGTTTCCCTCGGTATCTTGTGGTTTGTACTGGTTTTGTGGCTGGGAAGTCTCTCTGGTCACCTTGGCAATGTGAAATATTTGCACAAAATAAACAACCTTCTTACTTTCCTTTTGCACCTTCTTGGAAAAAAGCCTAATTTAGTAGGTACCTGTCAAAAACAGAGACCTATTCTTTTTCCCATCCTGTCAATGGGGAATTGTTTCCTGCAGGCTTCCACCCCCTCGGAATAACAGTAATGGCGGCCTTAACCGCTTCGTTCCAATCTAAGCCAAACGATGCTTCCTTCTCACCTTCATCTCTCCTTTGCCCTCTTTTCCCCTCTCTTTCTCTCTCAAAGCAATTGTTTGCATTCAAGCTCAGGCGGACTTGGCAAAGGCATGGGTTATTTTTCTGATTTGATTAGTGAGGATATATATACTATATACAATAGCATAATAGGGTGGTCAAGAGTCAAAAGTATGAAATTCCGGAGTCAAAACGACTTGAATTGTGATTCTGCAACTTGCTGGCTGTGTGACTTTAGACTTGCTATTTAGCTACCCCGAGCCTCTGTTTGCTCTTCTGTAAAATGGGGATCTAGTAGGACCTATGGCTGAGGGTTGGAGAGGTTAGATGAGATACAATGTGAAGTGTTCCGTACACGCCTGGTTAGAGTAAGAGCTCAGATGTGGTTATCATCATCGTCACTATGACTTTCAGTCTGAAGAGCAGCAGTCCCAGGATATCCCTTAACAAACAAACCCATGAGCAACAAAGTTGGAGAAGTGGTGTACGTGGAGCTACTTCGTGGTGCCTCATAATGACCTTAATATAATAAGGCTCTTGGAATAGTTACGGAATCTATTTATTTTATTTAATCTAGTTATTTCCCAAGTTATTTGACTAAGGGCCCCTCTCTTTGCCAGTGTTCCTTGGGGCACTCTTGGGGGAGAGGCAGCACCAGTGCGTTATTTAAGTCCCTTGCACTCTCCTCCAATAGTTACAGAAATCTGTACTGGTCCTCCGAGGAATTGATGACATAAGCGTGTAATTGATACA